CAGACCACGCACACTCGACGTCGCGACATCATTAGTTAGGTCCTTTGGTCGCTACATTCTCCCCCTGATGTCGCCTTGGTCTCTCGCGTCTTCTCGCGTAGGTCTTGTATAAGCTTCTTAAAATGCGCAACATGCTTGATTGTTCGCTCCAACTCCCATGTTGCTTCGCCAGCGAGGTCCAAGCAGACACAAGAACAGTTGGAGAAGATTCGGCAGGAGCTCGCCCAAGACTTCAACGTTGCGTTCAGCGGCTTCGATCCAAGTCTCATCATCAACGTCGATGAGACGGGCATGACGTACGACATGCCTCACCATGCCATTTGGTCCGTTCGTGGTGGCTCGTCGAAGATTTCAAGTGGTGAAAAACACTCCTACCGGATGACGGCGGTCCTCTCTGTGCGAGCTAATGGCGACAAGCTTCCCATCCTTTTCGTCATGCGAGGGGTTTCGGGGTTTAAACAACGCTTATCTTTGTAAGTGGCGCGTCGTATCTGTCAATTTAAAATGTCTCGATGTTTGAAAATGCTGAAAAATGAGTCTTGAATGTGGTTGGCCGTAAAATCCTACGAAATTCGACGCTCAGCAGCCTATCATTCTGTGTATTTCAGAATAATCGAAGTAGGAAGTGCCCCTAAAATTCCGTCGCCGACTGACTGTATGCCGGTGTGACACTCAGCGGTGGTAAAAACCCAATCTTTTTCGCCTGATCAATCGGGTTTAAGGTTTTAATAATTAAAACCCTATTCATGGGTTTTAAAACCATGTTTTTATTCACGAGCATGCGTCAGTGCTTACAGAAGGCCGATTTGTGCTGGTGCGGGTTAATGTCGTCGGTGTAGAGACTTCACAGATGACTGCCTTGCCGACTACATTTACACTCTCCTGAAGCAGCATCGACTTGCCATTGCCGTTCAATGGATCACTGTCTGCGCCGGACCTAGGATCAGCGTTGATATTGCTGTCGTCGGCGATGTCGCTTTCGAAGTTGATGGCGATGGCCTCCACAACGATGTCGGGCATGATCATAAGTGCAATGGAAACAGCCAATTGCCCACCTCTCAACAAGGAGCGCAGTCCGCACCGTCTTAAAACCCGATTTTCCGATTTTGTTTGACCTCAGACAATCGGGTTTTATATTAAAACCTGAAAAAAAACGATTGTAAAAAACCAGGGTCTGCCACCCTTGGTGAACGCTCCGTGTTGGGTTCGGTGCATGCAAAGAAAACGTGGTATTAGAAGTCGAGATGGGTCATGCGGTGGCCCGGTGTAACTTTTCGTGGTAGCTATGCCTACTTTCCTTTAACACGTTGTGGTGCATTGTCTGTGCTTTGACGAAATCCAGACTTTGTACGGATCCTCTCTCTTGATGTTCGCAGGGGTGTGATTTTTAGCTCAGGTGGCAGAGGCGGTGTGTTGTCAACGGTCGTGAGTTCGGCCGCGGAGTTTCTCATCCGTGGCATGCCCTCTCCCCCAATGGAATCCCGACATCAAGGGAAGCGTACGAGGACTGGGCTTCGTAAGCACTGCCAACGCACGACGAATAATGGATTGGAACTACACCTTCATCCAAGATTGCAAACCGCCCCAGATCCAGGTCGTGTGGCAAAAGAGGCATAGCAATACTACCAAGGCGCTCGGAATGCTGAAAGCGTCGGTATAATCCACACTGCCTTATGCGATGGGGGTGATCGAAGCCACTGACGTTTGGGACATGCAGCTGAATGATGCCCTAACCCCAAGGCCGCTGGCGTTGTGGACCAAAAATCTGGCAGGCAGCAATGGCGCGTGGAGTTCCCTCTGTGGCGGTGTCATTTTCAAATTGTCGAGGTACCCAACGGATCCATGAAGATCTTCCGCACACTCCTGTCGGTGGGCGCGACTGCTGTCGCCGCCTACGAAACATACTCGGCCAAAGTTCTCGTCGACAGCAACACGTTCGAGTGCGAAATGATCGAGTCTATCCACATCGCGCACCGCCACCGCAGAGTCGAGCACCCCAACGCGTTCGTCGAACTCAAGAAAAAGCGCCAGTCGCCCCACACGCCGCTCGACTTGATCCGCAACCAAGATGTGAGCGGCCAAGAAATTGTCGAAATCATTGGTGGCAGCGTGGACGCAGTCCTCGGCCAACTGGCCAAGCGATGTCCGTCCGGCGCGCTGCGCCGCAACCTCGAAGCCTCAGAGGAGGCAACAGACGAGGTGGTGATCAAGAAGATCGTCGATTCGGGCGACCCGAAGAACCGCATCGACATTGTGTTCATGGGCGATGGGTACACTGCGTCGGAAGAATCTCGCTTCTTTAACGATATCCAACGTCTGACGAACGACATGTTCACGGGGGACACGTTCACTCAGTACCTTCCTCTCTTCAACGTGTGGGCGGTGTATGTGCCATCGGCGGAATCCGGCATTGGCGTCGGCGGTGTCCCTCGCAACACGGCCTTTGGGCTGTACCGACCGGGGACGGAACTTCGCGGGATCTTCACTACCAAGGAATCTTACGCGCGCGAAGTATGCAGAGCGACTGGGGAACTCGCGTGCGACTTTCCCGTGTTGATTGCGAACGACGACTACTACGGTGGCCGGGGGGGTGAATTCGTGATGATGACGCGCTCGCCAACCACAGGAAACATCACCCTGCTCCATGAGCTGGGCCACAACTTTGGCAAAGTTGGCGAAGAGTACGACGGTGGCTACTCCTATTACGGCGCCAACTCGGCGTCGTCGCTGCAAGATGTGCCGTGGAAGCACTGGTTGACGAACCCATCCAGCATTCGCGAAGAGAAGGCAGTCCTTTCGTACCAAAATTACATGTGGCACGAGCTCAAGAAGGGAGCGTACCAAGTAAAGTTCAGGTCGACTGGGGGTTACAAGCGGTGGGTAATTTCCCTCTCCGTGACGGGGGCGGACACTCAAGACGCGATCACGATCACGTTGGACGGGAAGCCGCTGGAGTGGAAGACGCAGAGGACGATGGACAGATCGTTTTCGGATTTTATAAGTTCCACTGAAGGGTTTACCGCTGGTGATCATGTGCTCGAAATCACTGGCCACGGGTCGTTCGCTGGCCCGGTTGCCAAGCAATTGTGCAGTGTCACAGTACTCGAGTATGGTGACGAAGACGAGTTCAAGATGGATGATCCCGAGTACATTGGCATGTTCCCAACGTGGGACATCAATTTCACCAAGACGTACCGCCCGGACAATGAAAAGTGCTTGATGCGCAATTTGACGTCGTCCCAGTTTTGCAACGTGTGCCAAGAGAACATGTGGCTCCAGTTTATGAGCCGCATCACGTTCATCGACGACATCGTGATCGACGGAAGTGACGTCACACTCAAGCTCATTCCCCTCGGCCAACTTCGCTCGAAGCCCATCCCGAACGAGAAATACACTGTCCAGTGGTTCAACTACGGCCAAGAAGTCGCCGCCTTCCGTGACAAGTTGAGCGTGGACGTCTCGACGGTGGCTGGGGCCGCCAAGTTCTGGAGTGTCAAGGTCACGCTGGCGACGCCGATGGTGCGCGTCGACTTGAACAACGTCATGACTGTCGAACGCAAATTCAAGGTGGATGAGTGCTTCACACTGATAACGAAGCCTCAATGTTAGACGATGTCGTGCCACACATTTTGGAGTTTCCTCACGCATCTCAAAGAAATTCATACAGCAGCCACGTCGTGGCGAGAGGATACCTTCGAGTTGGATCCGATTCTTGCGCGTCAGACAGAGCTCAGGCCATTTCCGCAGCAAGTGACAGACTCGGGGCACACATGCAGGCATCAACCCCTTTGGTGAGCCACGATGCATCTCCGAAAGATGCTGCCCATCGCGCTTGCTCAGAGAGGTCTGCCAAGCAAGCGATGCAACTTCTCAGCAGAAACAGAGATACTGGTCATGTTGTCTGGATGCATGCACGGATCGGCCACCTACGCAGCAGCACCCTTGGCTTTAATTGCAGCCCTGCTTTCGACAACGCTTCTTGGTCGCACAGAATGCACTGTGGCCATGCATTAATCTTAAGTAACCGGTTGCATTCCTTATACCGACTGGAGGGTAGTTGATAGGAAAATTGGACGTGATTCGATTGGCATCGTGAAAACATTCCAACTAAAGATGCAACACTCTAGCTCGCATGTAGAGCAGCCAAACTCTCGACGTTGTCATGGATGGCTTATGGTCCCATCGTGGGGGTATCGCGGGTGCGGCGAGCTGCCGCCTCATCCCGACCACGCACTCGACATCGCGACATCATTAGTTTGATGTTCCATGTGGTCACTACATCGACAGTACAGTTGGTACAGATCGCCGTCGCTTTCACAGTGGTGGCAGGTCTGGAGTCGCGCATGGATTCAGTTGCCTGCCAAGATGAATATCCTGTTCGCCCTTGCTGTGGGGTTCGCCGCCGTGACTGCCACCGACGAGACGTTGTCGATCAAATTGCTGTCCAACGTTGTGGAATCGTCCTGTGAGTTGATTCAACCTCTGGGACTCACGCAACTCCACCGCGGGATTCAAGGCCCGAACGACACGCTGGAGGTTATCACCCCGCGGCAGAACAAACTGTCCACGACCGAGCGTGTACTGGTCGAACCAGTCGGTTCGCACGTCTTTATCGAAATGTTTGGCAGGACCTCGAACGCTGTCCAAGCACGCGCTGCCCAACTCTGCCCGAACGGCATCAAGCGAAAGCATCTGCGCGAATCGTTCGGTATTCCACCGGCCACGATTCAAAAGATCGCCGATTCGGGGGACCCGAAGAATTGCATCGACGTTGTCTTTACGGGCGACGGGTACACGGCGGCCGAGCAGCCCAGGTTTGTTGCGACATCCAGCGCCTCACGAGCGACATGTTTACAGGCAACACGTTTGCCCAGTACCTGCCCCTGTTCAACATTTGGGCATCCTACGTCCCATCGGCGCAGTCGGGCATCGGCGTCGGCGGCACCCCCCGCGACATGGCGTTTGGTTTGTAACGCGACGGCACGGAGCTCCGCGCAGTGTACACGAGCAAGCCGGATGTCGCCCGCAGCGTGTGCGCGCAAAATGGAGCGTACGCGTGCGACTGTCCATCGTTGATCGCGAACGACGACCTTTACGGGGGACTCGGCGGCGACTTGGTCATTTCGACGCGATCTCCAACGTCGTGGACGATGGTGCTGCGTGCGCCACGAGATAGGTCACAACTTTGGCAAGGTCAGGGAAGAGTACGGCGGCAGCCAAGTGTTCTCGGGGGCCAACTCTGCCCTATCCGCGTCGACGATCACGTGGAAGCACTGGCGCACAGAGCCCACCAAGCTCACCGAGCAAAAGTGGGCCCTGCTGTACCAAAAGCACAATTGCAGGACCTCCAAAACGGCACGATCGGCCTTACGTCGATGGTATTCTGGTTCCTCCCTTGTGGAGGACTTGTGCACACGACAGGAAATGGAAAACTGAATTAGATCGATGAGAGTTTCAAGCTAGCCTGAATGAAGTTGAACGTTAGAATGAGCGCACAATGACACCGAGCAAACTCAGATAGCCAAAACACAGAATGGGCGATCATGATTAAATGAGTTTCTTTAACCTTATTGTCGTTGAACTTACAATTTCCTCGTACCAGATAAATTTGTTTGGACAGGGTTCTTGAGGTAGTTGGTTCATTCGGTGCGGCCATGGAAGGCGCAGGACTTCGGTTACGTATTGACCACCGGGACGAGATGCGCCTTCAACCACGCATCGTCGGAAAGCGCTCGTAGGACGTTGAAGACTTTTGTGTAGCCCTTCTGAGAGGTAAATCCCGGAGAAGAATCGTCAAGTGCATCTCGATGAGGCTGGCGGCGTGGATTGCCGTTTCCAATGGAGTCTTGGGTGGCAGGTCGGGACGGAACGTGCGATCGGCG